TGGAAGTGGGAAGGAAGGGATGGTAGAGGAAAACAAAGGAGGAGGTAACAATGCTTGATAGGAAATGTACTCATTACTTTGCTCATGTAATGGTGACCTTTCTGTATGGTATTTTTACAATGAAAAACATACAAAATATCTGCTTTGATCTACATAAAACTGTTTCCATTTTATTGGGTGACTGCACATTATTAACACAATATGAGATACACATGAGTACAGTTGTGTATTCCTTGTAAGTCATAACAGGCATAGTCCAGTGTGTGCTGCTTGACATGAGCATAAAGACAGAGTTAGCGTGTGAAGATGTCTCCATGACCTTTCACCCAATACTTTCCCATGATATTAAAAGAGCATCTGAGAAGCTCTGTCAGCAGGTAGAGGCACCAGGAAAAGCAGCTGGGGCAGCCCAGACTCTCACTTCTGCTTCTCTGTGAAGTTTGTTATGACTTGTATTACTGTGGAAGGGTAACTACAACTCTGTTGACAGTAAAAAAAAAAAAAAAAGGAAAATAAAAAAGTAGCAACATCTTCAGGTGGCCGGCTGCTGATGCTGAGAGTGAACTGTGTCCCAGATCCATGCCACTGAACCTTGATGGTACCCAGATTGCATACCAGTTGCATAAAGGATCAGGACCTTAGGAGATTTCCCTCGTTTCTTCTGGTGCCAAAGTAAGCTATTGCTAAGGCCCTTACTGGCCCTGCAAGTGGTGGTAACTATGTCTTCCAGAAATGCAGACAGGGATGTTACTTGTCAACCTGATGTCACATCTGGCACCTGACAATGGATATATGGAAAACATTATCTGTTTAGTTAATTCTACTATCCAAATATTTCAATGAAGAGCCAAGCAGCTCTGTGAACACAGGATGAGAAATCTTCAGTATTATCATCCTTCCTTACCTGGGAGCCAGAGCATCAAGAGGAAGGGCCCTCATGTCTGTGCTGTGTGCTGACTAAAACCTCCTGCTCAGGTTGTGAGCAGCATATGAAGAAGTGGACACATGCAAATCAGCAGGGCTGGGCAGGGCTGGGTGGAGTTTCAGGTTGGCATATCTCAGTGACAAAGAACAGACCTAAAAACCCCAGATTTCCACTTTGTTTCTAGAACATGTGTTTGCCTCTGGTGAGGAAAAAACAGATATGTCTCCTGTGAGAAGAATGATAATCTAATGAACATCATCTAAAATTTGCTAGTTTTTTTCTTAATATAAGTCACTCAAAGACAAATATTTCCAAGGCAAGTTAATTTTATAATTCCTCTGCATTTGGTATCAGTGGATTTTATGACACATAATACCTAGAATATGATTACTAAGGATCATTATTACCCAGAAACAAGTGTTGTAAAAGCAATAAAGCATGTGGAGATAGAAAGATAGTCAAGAAAATGGGTACGTAGATACAGAATAATATCCAAATTCTTAATTAAAGATAATACTTCAAAAGTATATGTTATCTAGTATATGTATGAGTCAAGCAGAAACAGTCAGATAATGTGATGTTAGGAAAATGAACCCTTAGATAAGTATTTAAATTTTTTTTATTTCATGCATTTGTTTCTAACCCATTTATAAGATTATTTCTTTATTGCTTTGTATATCCCTCCCCCACAGTATAACCTCTGCTTTCACTATATTTGATGTCGGTATAATTTGTGGAGGAGATGGGGAAAAACAAGTCGTTTAAGGATACAGGTGGACCCGTTGCAACAATGAGAAGTACAAGTTGTCATGTCGAAAATGAACTTTACAATTTTGGTGGGGTGGGGTTGGGGGTGGGGGGAGGATTGGGGGGGAGGCTGGGAAGGGATGTGAAGGGTAAACAAAGGAGGAGGCTGCAATGCTTGATAAGAAATGTACTCATTATCTTGCCCATGTAATTGTAACCCCTCTGTACAGTATGTTCACAAAAAATAAAAAGAAAAAAGAAAAAAAAGAAAAAAAAAGAAAAGGCAAAATTGGGTTTGCAGATTCTGAACAGAAAGCATGGCAAAAGTTGTAGGCTAGCCTGTGCTGAAATGAAGTATTACAAGTTTCATCACAGAGAGAATAATAATCACAGAAGACATTTGATTTTTAGATTTCTGGTTGGTTATAATATTACTGAAGAGAAAATTGCATTTTTCAATAAATTCCTAATGGTTTATCTGGTCTTTATATTCAGGTAATTATTCTCCTGATTGTTATAGATTGCATTTTGTTATATTGTCATAAACTCTTCACCTCTATTTAGACTGACTCCAATATTGACTTCAATATTTCCTCTTAGGCAGACTCACACAGTATGCTGGGCTGCTCCCCAGACCAGCCAGCCATGAGGACAGCTCACCCAGCCAGATGGGAGGTTTTTGTTCAAGGCTGTATCACTGTGGGAGGAAGATGTGTAGCTTGCATGCAGTAATAAACTCCAACATCCTCAGCTTCCACCCTGCTAATTGTCAGTGTGAAATCTGTGCTTGACCCACTGCCACTGAATCTGTCTGAGACCCCAGAGTCTCGTTTGGAAACCAAATAGATCAGGCGATGTGGAGACTGGCCTGGCTTCTGCAAGTACCAGCTCAAATAGGTGTTTCCATTGCTATAGAGAAGGCTCTGACTAGACCTGCAGGAGATGGAGGCTGGCTCTCCCAGGGTGACAGGCAAGGACCTTGGA